ATCTCTCTCTTTTTTCCTTCTTTATCGTTTTTTTATCGTTTCATCCATACTCTTTTCTTTCACTCCGTCCCTTGTCCTTCTTATTACTTGTTATTTTTCACCTCTCCCCCCTCCTTTTATACCATTCCAACTCTCTTCCTCTCGTGCATATTCGTATTCATCGAACAAGCGCAACTCTTTCGCTCTACTTTCATAACGATCTTTTCAAGCAGAAACGCGCAAACTCGGTCGACGCAGGCACGCAACGCACGCGAAGTAGTAACTAAATAAATAAATAAATAAATAAGTAAGTAAGGAAAGAAAAGGAAGCGAGGGGGAGGAAAGAGAAAAAGAAAAGGAGTAATAAAAATAATAAAAGAAAAAAAATAAGAAGAAAAGAAAAAAAAGAAAAAAGAAAGAGAAAAAAAGAAAGAAGAAGGGGTAAGAGAAAGATCGAGTCCCACTTTCGCACTCAAAATTTTAACTCTCTCTCTCTCTCTCTCTCTCGTTTTTCCCTCTTCTCATGCCGATTTTTTTTTCCTTTTATATATATATATCTAGCTTCATATGATTTTTCAGGTCGATTTCTAATATAGAGTACCCTTTTGACGAGGGGTGAGCAGTGAGCTGTGGTTGTGTGGTGCTGTATGGTGGTAGCGGTGCCGGTGGTGTTCGAGGTGCTCTGGATGATGAGGGTCATTGGGTACGAGGTGGTCAGGGGTGTAGTCGTCTTGGCGGGTGTGGGGCGGGGGCCTCAGTGTACCTTGGACCGGGGGTAGAAGCCGCTTGTCGTAACGGGTTGACAGCAGCAGGTTGTCCAGGATCTCCTTGTCCGACTTGCCGTCCTCGAAGCTGCAACACAACGTATTGTAGCTAGCCCCGAAAAATTACACCGAATTCACGATGATCATTTTTATTTTTTTCCTTTCCTTTCCTTTTCCCCCCCTCCCCTTTTTCCTCTCTCTCTCTCTCTCTTTCCTTTCCTTTCTCTTTTCCTCTCCCTTTCTCCAGGAGCCTTTTTCACTCCTCCCCCCTCTCTTTCTCTCTCTTTTTCTCTCCAGCCACCTCGAAGGTCGATCGATCCCCGATCGATCTCTCGCGAATCTTCACCTTCGAGGCGACACATCGAATATATAGATTCTCCCTCCCTTTCTTCCTTCGTTCGTTGCGATTATTAAAATTCTCGTTCGTGTGTCTCTCTCATCTCGTTCAATTACGTTACGCAACAGGTATTAAAAAAACGATCTACGGGAATTATTTCCAAGAAATTAATACGCAGCTTTCTAAACTATTATATTATATTATATTATATTATATTATATATATATATGTATATATATCTCTTTGCAACACGCTAATTAATAACTGTTCTGTTGCTTCGATCGTGACTACATCAACGATCACAAGCTAGGAATAATCCAAACTTGTCTACACGATATACTAAACGACGTACGATGCAATCGAACGAATAGGACGCCGATCGAGGGAGAAAGTTTATGTCGTCGATTATATCTCGTCAAATTTCGAATCGAACCGACACGCGCACGATTTCAAAGGGCACGGAGGATTTAGGATTTATTTACGAGCGACGACGACGACGACGACGACGACGAATAAGCGAAGTTTACGATCCGAAAAGTTAAAGCGAAGCTCGACCGTGAGCGAACACTCTCCTCTCCTTCCTTCTCGACAGGCGTCCCACGATTAATAAAACGAAGACAAGTTTGCACAATATCGAATGTAAAACAAGTAAATAATAAGAGCCTTCGAACATGAAATCTAGGCGACATTAGTAGCGGCGACCTCTATTTCCAAGGGTGACGAACAAGGCTCTCTCTCTCTCTCTCTCTCTTTCTCTCTTTTCATTCAATCCTCTTTACGATTCTTCCTGAAAAGGAAAGATAGATAGAAAAGATAGAATTTGCCGGGGGACAAGAAAGTGAAAAATAGATTAGCTCGTCACCCCCTCTATTCTATATTTCCATGCACGATTCGTCTTAATTGATCGAATCTTAATCATCGAATAATAATAATAATAATAACAACAATAATAATACTCTAATAAATTCGCTATATAATGTCGCCCTCTCGATCCTATCACAAGCAACACAATGTTCTACACTCTAGTAATAGTAGCGACCTCTTCCCTTCTCGATACCAAACATTCCATGGTAAAGAAACTTCAAACTTATCGATCGAACAGATCCGTTCGACGGAGCTGGAAAGACTAACCGAAAGTTACGTATTTTGCTCGTTTACTCGTATTTAAAAACGTATCGGGAAGTTAAGAGAAGTAGCTTGGACGAAGTCGAACAGATTGGTTAATTATCACGTGTGTATATGTGTGTATGCTGTGTGTGTGTATACGTGGTGTATATATGTATATGTTGTGTATTTGATAATACGTACATGTCCTCGGCACGCACGAGGGTGACAAGAGTGAGGGCAAGTGTGAGGATACAGAGGATGGTGAAGATGAGGGAGCTTGCGAGGGAGGTGAGAGACAGCGAGAGGACGGACGAGAGGCGGCCGCCACCACCCGCACACCGCCCTAGCGCCACCCAACCCATTCTATGTCATCTGAAACAGAAAAGCACGTTTTCCATTATTAGTATTCACATCCGCACTATCCTCCCCTCCCCTCCCTATCACGAAACGAATGTCAACGCGTGCAAACAAAACCGACACTTGGAATATATATTTCCAAGCCGTTCCAACGCTCCTCCTACGCGAGTTCGAAAATACAATGTAACGATCCTCCTCGATTCTCTCCCCTCCCTTCCTCTCCCCACCGCTCTGCCGTCAAATCGTAATAAGCGAGGGAACGAGCTCTCTCCAATTTCTTCTCGAACGTACGCTACGATTTTAAAACGTGTTTTTTCTAAATAAAAAAAGTTTTTAGAAAATTTAATTAAATTAAAATTTAATTTTCATTCCTCGTTTCGATTTGAATAAGGGAAAAAGAATTACTTCGAGTTATTCACAAAGAGATAATTTTTGGTTAAACAAAACAAAGATATATGGAAAATACGAATGAAATCGTATTCACGAGAGCTTGGAGATTAATGAGTGGGATATCTTGGAGGATTCTAGAGGCGAAATAAAGATAAAAGTTGATATATAGAATTGTTAAATTATGAATTGAAATTCGTTACGCTCTATTCCTATTACGTTAAGTAAAATGAAATATTCGATAGATTTATTTTTAACTTAACTAAAATAAGTAACGCTTCTCCTCGGGAAACTCGTTCTTCGCGTTCTCCTATTTCCTTCTCGATGTACGCTTCGATTTTAAACGTGTTTTTCCAACGTAAGTACGTTTCTACCGATTCCTCGTTACAAGATACGAAAATAAGGTATTTCGAGATTTTATCGTAATTATTTGAAAAGATAACTTTTGGTTAAACGTTCGAATAGCAGAGATACGGCGATATGAATGAAACCATATTTCCAATATTCCAATTGGATATCTTGGAGCATTCCAGATTCTAAATAAAGACAAAATTGGATCAAATTACGAATTCCAATTCGTCACATATAATATTTGATCGTCAATGATAAAATTCAGACAGATTTATTTTCAGTTTCTTATTTCAACTAAAATGAATATCGTAATTTTTATATCTCCGATTTTTGCAATTTTTCCAGAATATGGATGTATCGTACGAAACACGCTTTGCCAATTCGTTCGGAATAGAATTCGATTTCCTTTCTTGCCGCGATAATAAATCGCGTTCCCGATATCGAGAAGGAAAAAAAAAAGAAAAAAAAGGAAATTCGAAACGCATACGCGATCGACTTTGATCACGCTCGTTTCGCTTCTTCTTCTATTTCGCCCGACGAAACCGGCCACTTTGTCCCGATCCCGAGGCGTATTAAAAGAGGGGTGAAAGCCTACCCCTCAAAGACCTGTGGATACACTTTTGATCTACGACCTTTCACGCGATTCATATGTGTACACCCGAGTCTACCGACCCTTTTTAACTGAAACCGACAAACAGGGTTGGAAAACCTCGAACCATCGTCCACGCCTCCTGGATCCTCCACCTTTCTTCGGTCTACAATCGTTATTCTTCTAATTTAGATTCTTTATTTTTTTTTATTACTATACGTAGCTACGTATCCATTATTATCATTCTATCAAGTTGGAATTAAAAATTTTTTTATTTAAAATCGCTAATTGGTCATCGCTCATCTTTATTCCTGTGACGTGAAATTTTTGAATAAGGAAATTGTTACTTGCTGTTTCGTGTATTTTGTCCGTTATAAGTATTATTTAAATGCGTAAAATTTTTTTTAAAATTATATCTAAAACAGGATCGTGAAAAGGATAAGCTTTGAATCGAATCTCTTGATTTTCTCAAAATTTCCAATAATATTCTCTGTCAGTTATTATTTCGAAAAAAGGAACGAATAATAAATAAAATTTCGATTATTTTTCTAACTTACAATCACATTCGCTGTTATTGACGATCCATTTTTTATTTTATTTTTTCTTTCTTCTATCTTTCGGGATAATAAATTGAAGAGTTGCGCGGATGCGAAATGAACGGAAGGAAGCAGAGACGAAGGAAGTACGCAGCGTGAAAGTTGTCGCCGGGAGTTAAGTTGACCGTAAGGGAGAGGAAGTCGTCTGAGTTGGGAGTCGTCTCGCTCATTTTCGCGTCGCGCTGCCACTTTTCAAGTAGATTGTTATGCAGGACTGTTTCGAGTGGCTTGGCGAACGCGTCGAGGACCCCTCTCTCCCTGCTCTCCACCCTCGACGACTCGCACAGACCATTTTCTCCCCGTCCACTCATTCTCAATTTCCCGCCTTTGCTGTTCCGAATCGAGCTCGTTTGCATCGTTGCTTCTTTCGATTGTCATGAGAGAGAGAGAGAGAGAGAGAGAGAGAGAGAGAGAGAGAGAGAGAGAGAGAGAGAGAG